AAGCAGACCCCATAGCTTTGTTGTTGGTTTAATCGGCATCACTCTGATATTCACATTTTGAAAAAGAGTATCTTCAGCTAGATACATTCATCCATATATAAGCAGTAGACATTTCCCACCATCTACTTTGACTGAACATGCATGTCCTGAAACTTCATCTTAACAAAATGATACAATATCATATACATGCACATCTAACAGGAAATTTTGAGATGATGTTTAGACAAACTACATAAATCAGAAATACCTTAAATAAACTTGAGTGTTCTGTAGGAATGGAGTTGAGATTAGGTCATGGAGATAAAAAGTAGAGAAGAGCAGATTAGCACCAATAATTAATTTAGAAATTCACTTACAAATTAAATATTCCTGAGGTTTAGTATTACTGTATTAGTCAAATCAGTTAAGAATAACCATACAGCCCTAACCGGTTTGGCTCAGTGGATAGAGCGTCGGCCTGAGGACTGAAAGGTCCCAGGTTCAATTTCAGTCAAGGGCATGTACCTTGGTTGTGGGCACATCCCCAGTAGGGAGTGTGCAGGAGGCAGCTGGTCGATGTTTGTCTCTCATCGATGTTTCTAACTCTCTATCCCTCTCCCTTCGTCTCTGTAAAAACTCAATAAAATATATTAAAAAAAAGAATAACCATACAAAGTTAATGAAAACTATTCATTAATTTGTTAGATATCTACTTTACCTTAAAGTAGATATCGAACAAGGCAGAATTTTAGTGTCTTCACAGTATTAAATTACATTTATAACGTTTAAATTACTCTTTATTTCTCTACACTCTTTCTTTGAATTATTCTTGAGCTAGTTCACAAATACCCTGATTTTTCAAAATTCCCTTATGAACAAGGAAAGACATTCTTCCTCTTGACTTGCATTGCTTTGTTACCTTCATTACCACAAATGTAATAAAGTTGCATTTCATCACAAAAAGTAAAATATTTGCTCCTTTATTTAAGGACATTAATGTAGAATATATTTTTTGTCCAAGAAAACCTATTACAAATATATTTTTGGACTTCCCAAATCACTGAAAAAGAAAAGCTTAGACATTCCTCTATATATTTGTTCTATTAAGGGATTCATTCTGCCCTAAATTCTCAGAGAGGTGACTTAAAAAAAGAGTTGTTTGTCATTCAGTTTAAATTAGCTTAAAGGTACTTTTTAAATGCCCCAAATGTTTAAAAAGTCCTTGATTTCTCAAAAGCACAATTTACCCTTTTGAAAGTTTGAATTCAATCTCAAAAGGATGTAAAATTATTTATCCTATATAATAGAAGGCTTATTTTTTATTCAAAAGTTGCCAACATCTGGTGTTTCACTTACTATTAGTTTTAAAACAAAGAAACTAATTTACTCTGATGATTGAGACTCATGGAATACAGTATCAACACTCAACCTTTTTCTTGCAGTCTCTCTAAGTGTATATATATATATATATATATATATATATATATATATATGTATATATATATTCTCCAAACTTTTGATGAGAGATTTAGTGAGAACTCTGATACCTTTTTATGCCAAGTGGGAGAACTTTTAAAATTGATTGGCTTATGAGGGTGAAAGTACTTGGAGTACTTGGCGTTCATTTTTAAAATTCCATAGGGAATCGATTCTCAATATTTGTACGTTTAAGTTAGCAGGCCTTTCCCTTAGATTTCCAATGGTAACTAGATTACTTCAAGCTATTGACCATGATCCCCTGGAGTCAAACGAGATACATTAATTCTCTTGAGGCTCCAAGGAATCATTTGTAAATAAACCCTGATATATGTGATTCATTTCACATACACAAGTATTAGTCTCTCAGGGATTACTGTGATCACTTGGTTCAATGTAGGATCAAAATCTTGTGGAGTAGTCTTGATCTTGAAGCAACATCTCATTAGTTTATTTTAAAAAGTTACTCTACAAATAGATTTTTATTGATGTAAATTGTTAGAAGCTTTGTCTAAAACAGGCCCATTAATCAAGTGTATAATGAAATAAAAAGAATATGAGAAATGTGAAAGCATTGATAATACTTTAACAGTATAAGCATGAGCCTATGTCACCAGTAACACTATGTTAGATGCAATAATCTGTGGACCCATTCACTTTTCAATTACTTCTTCATAGGATGAGATTTAATAAAAATGGCTTGTTCTTTAATAACTCATTTCTCTTATCAAATACTGAGAAGAGAATTGGAAAACAAGCAAATGGAAAGATATGATCGCTAGATTATTAATTCATTTACTCAACAAGTAATCATAGAATGTTAGCTATATTCCAGATATTGTCATGGTGCTGGGGACATTTGTATCATCTATATGCAGTCATTTGTTAATACATTTCTAACTATTCCCTTCAATTAGGCCATTTATTTATAGGTAAGATGGTACTCACTCCATTCCTAAATATTCCTTTAAAAATAAGTATTCTTACTTTTTCTCACTGGGCTAAAAATATCCCTTACACATGTGACATTTTTCTCCCCTTAATCATAAATAGAATCTGAAAGGCACCAGTATTATGATACTCCCTGGACAGAAAAACCTCCCCTAAATAACATTTACTATGATGGCTTGTAATAAGAAAGCAATGTTTTTAATTTTCTTCTCCCTGGGTACATTTGAAATTTGTACAAGTCATTGTTTTCAAAAGAAAAAAAAGTAAAAATAAAAAAGGGGTAATAAACAAAAGCAAACAAACAATAAAAAAACCTTGTATTGAATAGTCCATTCTTAAGTTGATCATTGATAGTATAGTTTTATTAATTTTTACTAATTACTTTGTCTGGGAAATGAACAATAACCTACTTTTAACGCTTTGTCATTGACTTAAGCTTTTCAGTAGTTTGCTCCCCTCTAGAAGCTTTAATTATTAGGAGTCCATTAAATGTAGACAAAAATAAAAATTACAAGTTTGAAAAGCTTCCCAGGTGTTTCTGCTCAAATAGAGATTGTCTTTCCTTTATATTTCTCCCCTCTTTTCACCAACTGAATTTACAGAGTTCTTTTGATTGTCTACAGCAATGGTTCTCAACCTTGGCTGCACATTAGAATCACCTGGGAATCTTTTTAAAATCCTGATTTCTGGGCCTCATCCTCCTGAAATTCTGTTACTTTGTTACTAATGTTGTGGCCCCACCCCATAACAAAGAAACAGAATTTCCAGAGGATGAGGCCCAGAAATCAGGATTTTAAAAAGATTCCCAGGTGATTCTAATTGTGCAGCCAAGGTTGAGAACCACTTGGTCTACAGGGTCCTAACATGAATATTTTATCTGTAATTAAGTATGTTTTAAGTACTCCTTTTCTTTATACTGGCTAACTTTTAGAAAATAGCAATAATTTGAATACTTAATTTCCCAAAATGTATTAAATGCTAATACTTGAAGATTTTTTGCTTTCTAGAAATTTTAGTGATTTATATTGAATCAAAATATTTATAAATGTTTTAGATTAACAATAAGACTTCAGGTCTATAAATTGAAATAAAAACTGGTAATGGGGAAAGAGGAATAGAGAGAGTACATATGGTAAATCATCACCACTGTAAATATTTTAAATTATATTTGGAGTTGCATCATTTTCATAAATTCTGATTACAATGATATAGAGCAACTAGGCTCATAAACTATGAAAAATTATATACCATTATTTTAGTTTCTTTTTGTCAATTTAAATGAAAACTATACTTGAATGTTTTTCAAAATTATGATACATATATCAATATGATGTGCATTTTTATTTTTCTAGATTTAAGCTTTTACATGCTATTGATACTTTTTAACCTCATGTAACTCAAAAATATTTTTAAGCAAGGATGGTCTTCACAGCATTGTTTACAAATGTAGAATATGTTGAAAAGCATACGAATTATATTCAATAATGAACTACTTAGATAAGTTTTAGTACATCCACATAATGGAATACTAAGCAGTAACTAAAATGATGATACAGATCAATATTTATTAACATGAAAAGATAATTATGCTTAAAAATTTAACAAAGCATGTAATGGTACTTGCAATATGTTTTCTTTTTTGCTTACAACACAGTGAATGTATAAATAGAAAAAAAGACATGGCAGGAAATGCACATACTGAAAATATTAATAGTGGTCACCTCTGAACTATGGGAATTTTACTTCTTTATAAATTTTTGCATTGTGTACATTATTTTACAATTAGCATGTATTATGTTTACAATTTTAAAAAGTGATTTCCACTTGAAAATATTTGATAATGAATATATATATAATTTATAGATAATTATATAGCAACAGCTTATCCTCATTATTTTGTGGGCAAATTGCTAACAAAAGTGTTAATAAATTATATATTTATATTGAATTATGTATGAAAACAAAGGTTTTTATGCAGAGAAATAAAAAACGACTGAGAATAGAAACAAAACATCTTATGGCTGGATCTGTGGTATGAATGAATCATATTTTTAAAAGTTATTATTTAACATTTACATAAATTAGGTATTTATTTATATACTTTCAAAATGGATTTCAACTAGCATATATTAAGAGAAAGGAAGTTCAAAGAAAATAGAAAAGTAAGTGTAATATGGATGGAAGGTAGATGGATGGGAAGAAGAGGGAATAGCTAGTGAAATGCAGAAAATGTATAACCTAAAAATTACAGGCTAAATACTGTAACTATAACAAAGAATAGAACATTCTGTAACAACTTTCAAGCAACAAGACCGAAAGAGAAACATAGTGCATTAATAGCTCTCATATGATAGATGAAGGCATATGATTTAATCAGGAGTAACAACTTTTTCCTTCATTTGAAACATCTGTGAATATTTTCACATGGATATATTAAATAATTACAAGAGAATGACAAGTTTAATACATGTTTTTCAAGGTAGTTTTTCAATATCATTATATGGATTATTTACCTTTTATATTGACAATAAGAGATGAAGTTAAAATCTTAAACTTATCTAAAGGCAATTCAATGCAGTTATTCATCTTGTTAATTTAACATTATTCAAGTATACATACAAAGGAATTTAGAAAAGTGAGTAGCAAGAATGCTCTTTAGATTGTTGTCAAATTTCAGATCTTTCAGGAAAGGTTTTTAAAGATGAAACTAATAATTTAAAAAATTAATGCCTAAAGTATTAATTTCCTAAGGTACTGATTGATAAAAACACCAATATGCTTATTTCTCTGAGTATGAAGTTAATAAAAAAAAAACTCCCAACACTTAGTCACAGTCACCATTCAGTTTGTGGTATGCCCAAAATGTATTTTAAAATGAAAATAATATAAATAAAGGAAAGAAAAAAGGTCACATCTTTTTCAAAGAATATTCATATTAATTAATAATTTAAAGTCAAATTATGCACAAATGATAACTGGACCACATACATTTCCCCCTGTGCTATTGATTTGTCAAAAAGCAAGTTAGAAGTTTGTACTGTGATAGAATCAGAAGTGTGGAGCATTTTGAGAATATTTTCATAGAAGAAATCAAATTTAGTAGTAATATTGAAATAGGAAGAAAATATACTCAATCAGTTACTTCACCTTGACTCATTTAGGAAAACAAATGTGTGGAGAAGTAAACTTTATTCTCCATAATCCTAAGAATATTACATCAAAAATTAGTACAAAATGACAGTTTTACAATTAGAAATTATGTTCTTCACTAAAATGAACAAGATTTTCTAGTCTCACTTTTTTTTTTTAAAAAAAAAGAAAATACTCACTTAAAAAAAACCTGTGAATTGGCATAAAATAACCTTTTATCACAAAATAGCCCAAACTAAGTAGGCACCAGCTTAAGGCTGAAACAAATTGAACATTCTTATTTTCACCACCTGCGCCTGGCTTGGCCCAGGGTCACATGCAGCGGTTTGGAGCCCACCATGCGACCATTCATCTCACCCACTGCTTTGGTAGCCTCTTCAAAAGAGGAGAAACAGACTACACCAAACCCTTTGCCTTGCCCCACTTCCACCATCACTTTGGCTCGGCTAATTGATCCAAAGGAAGAAAATTCCTCCCTTAGTTTTTCATCATCGATGGTCTCATCCAAGTTCTTAATATAGACAGGCACCCCCGGAGGCCGACTTTTTTCTTTGACTTTCAGCCTTTCAAATCTTCGCCTTAATTCAGCCAGACGTTCAATTTTCTTCTGTGCTCGCCCTACATATAGGGCTTTCCCATCGATGGACCTTCCATGCAGGTCTAGCACAGCCTTCTGAGCAGCCTCGTGTGTCTCATATCTTACAAATCCAAAGCCTTTAGATTTCCCACTGGCATCTCTTATTACCTTAACACTCTCGGTTGGCCCATATTCACTGAAAATTTCCTTCAGTTTTTCATCATCTACTTCATCGCCGAAGTTTTTAACGAAAACATTGGTGAAAGTTGCTCTATCCCTGGTCCTAACTTCAGCTGCCCGCTCTTCTGGAAATTTGAATCGGCCAACATACACCTGGCGGTTGTTGAGCCGCACACCATTCATGTGCCAGATGGCTCTATTGGCAGCTGCTAGGCTGTCAAAGTGCACATAGGCATAACCCTTAGAGCCGTTGTCATCGCATACAACTTTGCAAGAGAGAATGTTCCCAAAAGCAGAAAACAAATAAAAAAGAGCCCTGTTGTCTATGGATTTGTCCAGGTTTTTGATGAATATATTTCCAACTCCAGACTTTCTTAAGCGGTCGTCTGGCTGAGACCACATGAGGCGGAATGGTTTGCCATTAATCAGATCAAAATTCATGGTGTTCAGGGCCCACTCAGCATCTGCAGGAAAGCGGAAGTTAACATAGCCATAGCCCAGAGGGCTGCGGGTCTCTGGGTCACGGCAGATTCTGGTGAAGCGCAGAGGGCCAGCAGGCCTGAACTTTTTATAAAGCATGTCCTCGGTGACATCTGGGTCCAAGTCACCCACATACAGGGCAGCCTTGAGGTACTTCTTTTTCTTGCCAGCAGGATTGGGCTCCCCACTCCCCATCTCTCTGAGCACAGGGAGGAGGCTCTCTTGGGAGAGAAAAGTCTGCTTTCTCTAAGCTATGGGCCAAGCAGCTGTTCACGAACAGAAAAAGCCAAGGCGAAGGAAGCTAAAAGCAGACTCAGTAACACTGTTGAGGCTGAGAAAATGAAGTTCAGAAACACCTGGTCAGCGGGCTCAGAACAAACGCATCAGACAAAAAGGCATCCCAGTAAGGAGTCTGTTCTAACTAAGGGACATACAGTTTCCACCCTTTCAGATTTAAAATCAGTTTCAAAAGCCAGCGGTAGGAAAAGATTTCCCTTTCCCTGTTAAATTATAAGAAATCATCAAGCAGCTGGGTGGCTCCCCACATCTAGCATTGCAGATCCAGGCCTCGCAACCTGTTTTCTGCATAAATATAGGCCTCGAGCTCCTGTTGGCTTAAAATTACATCAACAAGAGCAGGGCCGAATGTGTATTCCTCCGCCCGGGGCTGCCTGGCCAGTCTCAGGCAGGCTCGCAGCTAACTAAGGCCGCTACACACACTCAGCGTCAGCGAAAGGGCAGACTGGGCACTTGGTGCTCTGGGCCGGCCGGCAGGCTGCAGGCGGCGGATCAGACAGAAAGACAGACAGACAGACACGCGCGGAGTACCGGGACCGCCCAGATACCCAAGATGCCCACTGGGTACGGACCGAGTGACGCGCGGTGGTTTCGGCAGTCTGAGACTTGCGGCAGGTCCGGAGGGACTGACTGGCAGAAGCGCACTGGGTCAGCTCAGACGCAAGGCGGTTCCGGACAGATGTGGGGCGGAGTCAGAAGAGAAGGGCAGATGCGTGGCGGGCGGGCAGAGCACGGACCCATGGACAGAGATTGCTTTCTCAGGACAGACCGACCCAGGGACTAAAAGCCTGTAGCTGTGGTTGGGCGGGGCTCGAGAAAACCCGGAACCCTGCTAAGTAACTTCCCACTTCTCTGTGTTAACATTGTAAAGAAAGAGAAAAAGAAAAGAAGAAATTAAAATGGTTTTTAGATTTCTTATTTTTGGAATTTCATATATTTATTATTTTAAAATATTATATTTGGGCTGCTAATCCAAAAATCAGAGGAGATGATGACATAAGTGGAAAGAACTGTAATAATTTTTTTTAAAAAAACGAATTCCCTAAATTATTTCTGTTTAGGAAATAGGATATAGGTTACATACTTTTCCTAAGTGCTTTGGGAAGTCAGGATTGACAGCTGTACTGGCCACCCGTCCAGTGCTAAATGATCACAGGGTTGAATAAAACACAGGACCATGTTGTGTTTGGCCTTTATCCTTACTCCATTAAACTCCAGCATAATGGTAGCATTATCCCTAGGTAGTAGGCAGTGTTCTTTTCACTGCTCCAGCAATACAAAGGTTTTAATTATTGGAAAGCCATAAAATGGCTTTAATGGTACTTATTGCCAAAAAACGTTAAAGATATGCTACTTCCATAAGCACAAATTATAAAATCTTAGTTAGAGATAAAAAGCTGCAGAATCAATATGAAATATATAATTGATGTTCACAAATGAAGCAAACACATAACGATATAGGCACATTACATAATTAATTACTAATTTCAACATGAGTTGTCAACTTTAAGCCATTGCAGGGAATAATGCTGTAAGATAGGAATCAACTCAGAGGTTTCCCAAGATCTTTTTAGAGTGTCTGAGAAACTGTTTTGGAGAGGAATGTTGCCATGTTTTGGGAAAATTGCAATGTCTATAACACATAACTCATGCAGCCCATTCACAACCCCTCCACTGAAAATGAAAATCTAGGCAATACATATGTAAGTACTATTAGGCTAGAAAAGATTCTGGGATGCGGTGGGGGAAGAATGCAAGAGAAGGATATCACCCAAAAGGACATGGTCTTAAGAAATTCTTAGAATAACAAGCTAAATTCATGTGCTGCTTCATTTTATACATTTTAGATTTTCTGTTAGACTCTATTATTAATTGAAGATGATACTTTACTCTCATTATTTACTCAAATATTTAGTGTTTTTCTTAATTGAGCTCTTTTTTTAATCCTCCCCTGAGGATATATTTTTATTGATTTGAGAGAGAGAGAGAGAGAGAGAGAGAGAGAGAGAGAGAGAGAGAGAGAGAGAAACATATGTGAGGGAGAAACATCAATTGGTTGCCTCCTGTAGGCACCCGGAACCCAAAACCTAGGTATGTGCCCTGACAGGAAATCCAACCGACCACCTACCGGTGCTTGGGAGAATAGTCAAACCAACTGAGCAACCCAGCCAGTGCAAATTTAGCTCTTTTAATTGGGTTCTTGCTTACCTAGGCCATGAAAAATATTTGAGAAAAGGCAAATACAAACAAAATATTATGGAGATAGACTGATAAAAACTAGTCTTACAATACGACCACAATGACATATAGAAACACTTGCGAATCTCTGCTTATTGTATTTTGAACATAATTTTATAAATATCTTTCCTGATAAGCTGAATTAAAACTAGACTTTTAAATTAGCTTTTGACCATTTTTATTTTTCTCATTTAAAAATCCTACTTTACTGAAAATGCTATATTATAAAACAACACAAATACAATAGAATAATTCCCACAATATTCTTACTGAACCAAATATAAATGTTCATATTCTAATTAATTTGTACAATTTTCTCTAAGGTTATAAATAGAATTGGGTTATTAAAAGTAATTATTTTCAAAACAACCTCCTCTCTACACTTAGCAGTCTTTTGAGGGTCATTGTAGTATAACACTTTAAACTATAGTGAACTTTTTATTATATCAAAAATAAAAAATAGACCTGCTTTGAAATTAATTTTAGTAGTATTCCTTCTGCTAAGCAGAAATTTGTGGGAAAAAGGAAAGCATTTTCACCTGTAATTTGTTTAATCATGTTAATATTAAGATTGAGAAGACTCTCTGAAATAAACTCAGGTATAGAATATTTCTCTTGTCACTTTTATTACATATTAAAGGCAACTTTATAGTCTATGTAAAATATCAAATACATTAAAATTCCAAACCCTGCCCACCCGGCGTGGCTTGTTGGTTGAACGTCAACCTATGAAACAGGAGGTCAAGGTTTGATTCCTTAAAATCATGATTTTAAGGAAGAAGGGAGAGGGAGAGAGAGCTAGAAACATCAATGATGAGAATATATATATATATATATATATATATATATATATATATATACCCCCACTGAGATTCCTGAGTCAGTTGGTTGAAGCATGTCTAAGTCTTTCTAAATCTAAGAAATATTTTCCATGAGGAAAGAACCAAGGACAGCTGGCATTCTAAGTGCATCTCATCAAACATTGTTATTTACAGTTGATAGTAATGTATCGGCTTTAGTGGAAGCAGAGGAGAGTTGTGAACTTATTTTTCAGCTTGTCTTAACAGGCACTTAATCCTGTGGTTCCAATTAAGTGTCTCAGCTGTACAAGTTGCTGGGACTTCACAATGAAAGTAAATTTGCTACTCTCTTGAATGAAGTCTGGGATGGTGGAACAAAATATTATAAACACTTTATTACCTATAACTTGACTCATATATTTTTAGACAAAGAGAGGAAAATTGCAAGAAAACAATTTGACATTATGAATGTAGTATAACCAGGCATTTCTACAGTAAGATTTGGAGACATTAGCATTCTTTTCCTCTAGTTCCAAAAATTTTATCTTGAGCCATGAGCGGTTAATGCTGTGGGTGATCATCCTAAAGGTACTGTGTAATTAATTATCAAAGAAATATTAAATTGTGTTTATTAGAATATACTTGTAAAGTGAGAAGGTAATGAAAACTGGAAAAGTTTCAACAGAGTTTACAATAGAATAGGACTAATGCTAAATTATTAATAAACAAAAAAAAGTTATTCTTCAATATTTAACCCAAATTTCAGTATTGTTATTTTTTGATTTTTTAAAGAGTAAAAAATATTTTATTTTAATTTTGGGGGTGAGGTAGTATAGGTGCTTTATTTGTTCAAGTCTATAGCTGTAATCCATACATTTACATTCCTACAGGATTTGTTGGAAATTGAGAAAAGGAAAATACTTTTATAAAAACAGTTTAACATTTTTTTCATTTGTCTCATGTACTAAATCCATGTTGAATTAAAAAGGCACACTTCCAACTGTGAATAAATCTGAGTGTTAAAAAAAATAAAGTAATATGACAACTTTATATATTTAGGTTTACTTAGGTGTCTCCTTAGGGTGCTCTTGAATTAGATCCTATTAGTTTATCATAAATCCATAGACTACTTATAGTCAATTCATTTGACCTGGAACAAAACAATTAAATAATTTTTAAAAAATAAAAATTTTATGCCTTATTTTAATTTCAAATTTTTATTGTGGTAAGATATATATATATAAAATTGACCTTCTTAACGATTTTGAAGTGTACAATTCAGCACATTAAGTACATTTACATGTCATACAACCAACATCATTATTTATCTCTAGAACTCTTTTTAATTTGCCAAACTGAAACCCTCTATCTATTAATATATGTATATTTTCAGATGACACTGAAAATATGTTAAGCCATTTATTTATTTTTGGGCTTTAAGGCTGCTTTTAGTTATCTTCACGACACACAATACTATCATAAGCATCTTAATTTACATAATTTTATATACAGGTTGTCTCCAAAATGTATATACACTTTAAATGATTATAAAGTCAGTGTTTATTAATACTGAAAATAACTCAAAATTAAGTGAGTTAATATGCTAACGATATGCTAAGTGTTGAAGTGTGTACACATTTTTGAGGGATACCTATATTATTGCTCTTATTTCTATTAGCTAGATTCTCAGAAGTGGAGATTGAATACTTAAATAGTATGTGTATTGTTAAATGTAAATATATACAGGAGAATTATTTCAAAAATGCTTCAGCAATCTACTTATTTTACCAACATGAAAATTTAAAAGAAATGGATAATTACTAGCAAAATAGGAATTACCAAAATTGATTCAAAGGAAAAGTGGAAGAACAATTGCCATAAAACAGATTAAAAAGGAACTACCCCTATTCTATTAAAGAAAAGACTGGTAATTTTTATAATTACATAATCTTTAAGAACATTCATGTAGGGCTAACACTATTCAAACTACTCTCAAACATAAATGGCTTCCTAAGTCACATTTATAAAATTATCTCCAATAGAAAATTCTCATAAGCTAGGCTCACCTTTTCAAACAAGAATAAATGAATGGTCAGTCCATTTACTTATATAACACGGATATATACTAGTATGTTGAATCAGTTGTGTGTAATGTGGGTGTGGGAAAAGTCAGGGGCAGGAGCAAGGTTAAGTATTACATAATAAGGATTTAGAAGGGGGTATGTGATGGTAAGGTAATTACAGACTTCT